AATGATGCAGCCTGTCACATGAAATTGTCATTTTCTATTCAAGTTAGCCTGTTTCTTCCTATACCTGTGGGAAAGGAATCCAGCTGTAGTCAAACCCGCGAACATGTTCGGAGAGATGAACCAGCACTTGGATTGAGCCAACATTGCCCTTGTATTCGTTCTTGTTCCAGCAGAAGTTGGCCGCTATCTTAGATGAAAACGCTATATCATCACTATATTCATTTCCTGTCTTACCTTGCCGCCTTCGTTCCAGACTCGTCCCATGACAGGTTCTCCTTGCTGATACCAAAGAGCGACATATTGGTCTGGATTCTCTCCAGCTATTGTGTCGAGGGTCTTGTCGAGAGCTTTTACCAAAGTTCTATCTGGCCAAGGATCTCCAGCGCGAATGTCCATCCATTCGTCGATCATTACCCTGCAAGCACTCTTCCAGAGTTTTGTTTGTGCAAAAAGACTTTTTTCTTACTTTGGAGGTGGAGGTCCGGGCGGTGGGGGTGCAACTTTACAGGTTGCACATTCGCAGTTTGGGGGACCTCCAAGCGTGTTCCTCATAATGATATACATATCGCTGAGCTCGCCTCCTGTTTTTGCATAAACTTTGCCGTCGCATGAAAACAATGCGATCTCCGTCTTATTGTCGACATAGCCCAGCAAAGCTCCCTGCACAAGGATTGAAGTATTTTGATTCCTATCATGCTTTGGTGGGCCTACCTCTGGGCGATCCTTCCACAGAATTGGGAATGAATCGCCACAGCGAAGCAACTGTCGCACTTCAGTTTTATCAAATCGGTCTTTGTATTTAATCCACTCATACCAAAAGCCTTGTGTGTTATGATCCCCTGTGTACTGCAGTACCTAAATCACGGATGCTCTCCAGATGTATGTGAAACGCCGTTTGGGACAGATTTACTTGTATATTTCCTTCTAGTTGTTGCGCTGTTCGCAGTTCGGCTCTTTTATAAGGAAAGGAACACTCCACTACTCCTCCGTTGTTCCACGATCGTCCATGGATTGGTTTACCATGTTTGTACCATAGCGCAACATACATATTTTGTTCTCCCATAACCTGAGGGCATGCAAAGTTTCTTAAGTGTCTTTTTTCGGCCAAGCGATGATCCATCTACCTTTACAGGGTTCGGCGGAAATGCAGTCCCAATCTTTTGAAAAGCCCACGTATCCTCTTTCGCTGCTGGGTTCGGCATAGCTTTAGAGCGTTGCAGAAATTGACTGAGCGAAAATGAACCCTACTGCTTTCCTCCTGGTTTATATACCTTTGATAGAGGCGTTCTATGATACTAACACTTCAAAGTGAACTTTTATTTATGATAAAAGCAACTTGCATTTATCATTCCCAGAGAAATGAAGTACTTCTTGAAATGTAGTTCAGTTGTTCCAATACCGATTTTGATCGAGATTTCCTTGGTTTCAAAGTCGAATGTTTGAAATGTTTTTTGACAGATCGTTTAGTTATTGAGTATTGGGGATTGTAATTATTTGCATCAATTAGAGCGCGCACAAATCTTTGTGAAAACTGTTAATGCTATTTCACAGATAGACAGCCTTGAAAATTCCAAATTCTTGCTGGACGGTCATTAGTGCTATCATTTGAAGATGAAATAGTTTTGCCTTAGTTTCACCTGCTGACACGTTTTAACTACGGT